CACACGGGGACGTGTCTGCAAGTGGCAGCCATTCGTATTAGTTGCTTTGCAAGGTTCAGGCCCGGATGAGTGAGCAGGGGGACAGTTTCTGGTCCTAGACGTTGTCGTGGACGTCACTCCGCTGCTCCTGACCTCTCCCCAGAGGTGAGAGGGAGGCACCCAGCTCTGAGGACCAGACTATAACCTCGTTCAGTGGGAAAACCTGGGCAGCGGGAGGCTGTCTGTGTCCTTACGCTTCACGGGTGTGACTGTTCACAAGCTGGGCTGTGTTGGCGCCCGGTGCTCCCCGCACATGCGAGGGGTTGCTAGGTGGGTGGTTCAGGGCCTGGGGCCGCCAGCAGGCGTTGAGGTGTGTGGGTGGTGGCCTCTGGCTCCTCAGCTGGGGGCCTGTGGTTTCTCTCGTCTCTGGGCAGACAGGTGCCCTGCCCCTGAAGGACAGTGGTGTCCCGGCCTCAGGCCATTGTCTTGGTGGGCTGTCCCTTCCAGGGGACATGTACCAGGAGCTTAGTGGCCCGTGGGCCCACATCGTGAGCCCTGCTCCTCTGCCAGGCGCTGCCTAGCCTTGCTCTTCTGGGCGGGATGGCAGGCGGCTGGTTGGGAAGGACGCAGCCTGCGTCCTGCAGTGAAACGCGCAGCGAGGGGAGCCCCGACCCGGGCCTGTGCTCGAAGGGGCCCTCCTCGGTGTCCACGTGCTCCCTGCTGACATGTTGCCTCCCCCGGGGGTTCCCTGAGTGGGAAGGTGGCCTATGAAAAGCGGGGAGGAAGGAGAAACAGGTGTGGCTGGTGCAGGGCTGCACTGCTGCCCGCGCAGGTGAGGGGCGGTGCTTCTCAGGGTGCTGGGCGCGCTGGCGGGTGTGGGCAGAGCAGGGGCGGCCTTGACGATGCCATCTGTCCCGGCTGCCCCGGAGCGGTGGCCGTGCCCAGATTGGTTTAGTTCAGGATTTTTAAATAGTAAATGACACCGTGTGCTTTTGAAAATAGCTCACCCTTTCTGGCTAGAGTGTTAGTAACAATCTCTCTAATGTGCTTAAAGGCAGCAGGCCCTGCTGCACACCAGGTGCTCCTCAGCTCAGTCTTGACTTCACACATCTGTCCGAGCCTGTTGGCTGCCCCTGGAGACTGACTGTGATGTCACGCCTTCTCCTGGAAGCCATTGGCTTCCTGGCTCATGGAGGGTGGAAATTGGATACTCAGCTTGACGAGGCCAGGAGGAAGGCTGATCTGTGTGTGTGGCCACTGTCCCCCAGGACAGGCGTGACAGTCACTGCCGCAGTGGTCAGGGGACTGCCGAGCCCGAGCAGCCCTCCTGTGCCCTGGCAGCCTGTCCCCTGGGGCCTGAGACTCAGGACAGGGAGGTGTAGGGACAGAAGTGGGGCGCAGAGGTGGGGGGATGGCGGTGCCCTGTGCCAGCTGTCCCGGCCCACGATAAGCTACGAGCTTCTTCCCGCCCCGATTGGCAGCCTCTCACCCACTTTGTGGGCAGTCGCAATAGCTGCCACTCCTCTGCTGTGCGCCAGATGCTGTCACACAGTGTGGCAGCACACACACTTCCAGAGGACATTCTGAGGCGCAGAGAGGTGAGGTTACTTGCCCGAGGTCACACAGCAACCAGTAGTGAAGTTGGCACTTGAACTGGGACAGTCTGCACCGGGGCGCAGGTCCTCCCTGCCAGCGGCAAGCCAGGTGCCGAGAGACGATGGGCAGGAGACGCTGGGTGTGCCCTGAAGTAAGTCGGAGCCTGTGCCGCCCGGAGGCAGGTGTGTGCCTGACCAAGGAGAGGCCTCAGTGACAGACGAGTGGGAGATGGAAGCGGAAGGGACTGTGGGCAGCTGTCCCAGTTGGCCCTGTAACATCTCTGTCTGCTGCAGCTGGAAGAGGGTCTCCTCATCGAGTGCAGACCCTGGGTGGTGCCAGGCTCTGGTCGGGCATCGTAAGCTGCGGGTGGCACGGTCCCTGCGCCAGGCACTCAGGCTGTTGCCGCCCTCCTCCCAGGGCCGTTTTGTGGGTGGACCCGAGGATGCAGCTGTAGGGGCCGGGGAGCAGCCTGGCCTACGTTGGCGGCCACAGCCCGGGCGCCCTGGGGCCTGAGTGTGGATGGAGAGGGCTCAGGTGCGCAGATACAGAGCCCCTGTGGTCTCCCACGGGGCTTCCCGGAGCCGGTGCAGGGGAACGGAGCATGTGGGATGGATTTGAGTGTCACGGGCCAGGAGGACAGGCTGTGGGTCAGGCGGCCAGAGGGAGCAGCGCCTGCCCATTGCTGGGGTGAGGGGAGCGGTGAGGAGCTGAGTGGGAGGCAGTGGGCTTGGCAAAGGCTTCTTGGTGTTTGCTATTTTGTGCCGACACCTGTGGGCGCCCGGGGGGTAGGTCCAGGCCATCGTTGACGTGGCGCGTCCTGGCTGATCTTCAGGACGTGCTCAGGAACAGCAGATCTTTGTAGAAGGCCACCGTCTACAGGGGAGAGGACCTCCCTGCTCCACCCCCACCCCCAGGTTCTCAGAGCCTGTGGGAGCGGGCCCGGGAGACCCGCCCAGAGCTGGGTGTCTGTTCCGGGTCCAGCTTTTGCTGCCTGTGTTTGTCCTGCCTGTGAGGCCCCAGCCCCTGTGGCTCCGGGGGTACAGCTCCTCCACCCACCCCGCTCTGGAGGGAAGGGCTGGGGGGGCTGCAGGCCTCGGGAAGGGAAGTGGAGGGTGTGTTTTGTGCGCAGGGAAGACGGTGCGTGGGGGAGGGGGAGGTCAGACATGGCTGTTTGCTCTCTCCCTTCCCAGGCGTGTCCTGCCGGGCGGCTGTGCTCCCATGCCCCTTGCCT